GCAGGCCGCAGCAGGAGCCACCGGGCGTGCTTGAAGTGTGAGCAGCCTGTTTATCCTGATTCGCGGATTGTTGGAAACCACCCGAAAATTTACGATACGAAGATTTGTTTCCCCCTCACCAGTGCGTCTTTTTAACTCAATGATGGCAGACTTGAGCCGCTCCCTGTCTACTGGGTCCAGGTCGGGACGAACATGGATCTTCAAACCTTTCAGCCTACTTAGGCGAGACATGATAAGTCTTGGACTGGCTTCGTCCACAAAAGTGATTCTCATAGGCCGATTTTGTTGATCACCTTGCTTTCCAAGACGTGTAATCTGCCTCACTTTTACCGAGTCCTCACCAGCGTCGAAGAGTCTATCAATTAGACCCTGTAAAAACTCGACATCGTGATCGTAGCGCACTTGGGGTGATGGATCACTGGACTCCGGTGCGTGAAAGATCACGAGATTATAACGCCTCTGGTCGGACGAGGTTGGCCTTGCAGGGCGAAGTATCCTACCAGCCTCAAGTGGTTTGGCTAACTGTTGACTTACAGAACGTAAACGCCCAACGTTCCTTCGTAATTTCGTCCTCTGATCTTTCCACTGGTCTTCAGCACTCAGACTTTCACCTGCTGGGACATCAGTGTCCGATGGACACAACAAAGGTAAACAATTTAGCCCAGGTGCAACTGGGCTTCTCACAACGGTTGGACTTCGTGTAAGTGAGTTTGCACGGGTAGAGGAGGACGACTGAGCCGAAACCTGAAGGCTCTTCGCGCTAGGTTGTTGGGCCAAACACACGGAGCTGTTCGCAACGAAACGCTGAGGACTACACGTCGGCTTTACTCTTTCTGGCTGTATCTGATTTCGGCAATTTTCACATATAGTTTGGACGAAATCGTGTTGGATCTCGCGAAGGCGATGAAAATGCTCAACTGATAATCCAACACATGAAATATGGTATTTAACTTGGCAAAATGCACACGTGAGGGCATTTGCACGGTATCCGACTAGTTTGGAGCAAGTACCACAGGATGACTGCTTCGGCATTGCGAATAATCCGAAAACAAGATGGCGGCCAATTGACGAAGAAAGTGGCGATAGCAAGATCGCCGAAACAAAACGATGAAATACAAGTATTTTTGGTCGGAAATTTCAGAATCGGAAATGAAACTGAATTGTAGCTCAATTTCCACGAAATACTTCTAATGAACGCAGAAAGTTAACACAAAGTGATCTTGTCAACACAGCCAAAAATAACCGACCGGAGGACATGTCTCCGACTTCATTCCTTACTTGCCTTCATTAAGTGCATGTGCCATGGCTCCGTTCTCTCTTCATCCATGCTTACTTTAGCTCGGGCTTTCCCCGGTGGTATTCAATGTGTTAACCTGAAGCGTTGAAGGCTGGATCAGTCAGATTCACAACGCCACGTCGGTCGGTTACAGCTAGAGACCGAACCCCGAAATGGATTATTATGAACGGATTGCTTCTTTCCTATGAGTAGTGCATCTGGCCGCACTAGCGTGGATGAGAACACAGGTCAGCATCGATAAGTACTAGTTTGTGACGGATTATTGGGCGTCTACCACAAAGGCCCCTCTGTTTTAACAGCCTACGCTTCCGTCACGTGTAGTGAAGATAAAGGCTTCCAGCTAGCAATGACCATTGAAGCGCAAAAAAGCCGTCTTCATAATTATCCAGAGCAGTCGTGGCGACGTTTCTCCATTATAACGTGGATGATAACGCAATTATCATAGTAGACGATATCTCAGTTAAAGAGAAAAATATTCCAGCATTAGAACAATGGGGCCATTCCGTTCTTTTCTGATCTCAGTCTGGACCCTCTAAGTTTGCTCTATAACATCAACTGATTTAATCAGTCCTTATCAGACTTCGGATCATCGTGTTCCGATTCACAGGCTGCATTGATGCGCAGGTAAGCGGCTTTTGACAAATGTGGCCTGCGCTCATCCATGCATCACATGTCGACTGCAGTTCCCCCATACAACTACTCCCTTTCTCAACTACTTGCATCCATAACGCTTTAAAATTCCTCCTTGAGGAAACTAGGTTCCTACATAGATCTTTCAAGAGTGTCAAATTGGATCCAATGGGCGCAAACACTCCTAGAAAATGCGTACTGTTCGTTGAGTAACCAATCCCAAATCTGCCGATAGTATAACGTATGAGTACACAGAGTGTGGAGAAATTGGCTGATTTAAGACTGGTCGCTCAACGAACAGTAGCATTTAGGGGGCGTTTGCTACCGTTGGATTCAACTTGATTGGAGAAGCGTGATTTCCTTGACGACGAATTCGAAAGCGTTATGGATACAATTGGTTGAGGAAACTTATAACAGTCGCATTATGTCCTCCTACCGTCATCATGTGTTTGTGCTCGGGTTCATTTCCATCATTTTAGAATGTCTGTGTGCATTCCAGTCACGCTACATATAGCCTGTTGCTGAACCAAGATGACCCGGCATTGTCATGCATGTGGCACTCCCTTTACACACACACACACACACACACACATCCATGCGGTTGCGCTGATTCCCAGTGGAGCGGATCGTGAACAGTGTGCACAAATGTGCTTTACCTAGTCTCTTTCTCGCCGTCTGGTTGGATATCAGCCCGTCAGTGTGAAGGCCATCTACTTGGCCGTGAGGCACGAACTAAGGGCTGTTCAATAAGCAGATTGTTGTGCATTGAAGTGCTAGAGGGATTTACGGAACCTGATATTTCACCTAACTTTTGAACCTTTTGCTTAATGTGTTCCATGTGCCACAGCCAATGTACGTCCAGCTATACGACCGACGGCAGTGAACATACTCCCAGGCTAGGCGCAAAGGCATCGGAGACAATCACTTCTGCTAATTCGTTTCACAGTGCAGCGCATCACCGGAACATCGCGTGAAGTGATCGGCCACTTTAGAAGTACTCATGAGTAGGGGATTTTGATATAGATAATTAGGTTCATCACAACCACCTATCCTTAGCGGACGTGGTGTCTTTCAGGGCCAACTCTGTCCTCTGCAACGTTCTTAACTTGCATGGCATTGGAGGATAAGACGCACTATATTGCAGTTAACTTGTAAATCATGACGGTCCGAAGCTGTCCCGCGTGACCCAGTGACATAAGCTGCTGACTGGCTGTTCAAGCCGCTGATGGTCATGGGTTCGAATCCTGTTGCATCCGATGGATGCGCACTACTGATGATGCCCAACAGGTTGCAAGTGCAGTCTAGTGCTTTTCCGGGCATGTGGACGACTCTGATTTGGAAGCTGGCTGTGATGAACCTCAGTTGTCAATTTAGAGGTGCTGTCCTACTATCTTGACACGCCGCACACCGAAGGCCCAGATTCATTGGCGCCACATAAAGGCTACGCAAAGGGCATCCATCTAGCTGTGTTCATTTACTTGACGGACGCTGACTTCTCTGATCCGAATTAGAGTCAGGAGAGGTCAAGCTCACATTCCTGATCCCAGTTGCCTGTCCCCTGGTTGAACAGGTGTACTCTGTGACAACCTACCAAAACTCAGAATGTTAACACCCTCACGTCGCTGCTAGTAAACGTTCACAATCTTTTTCGGTGTATGCAAACAACCGGTACTCTTTCCGATTGGGTGCACCATAGCGCACTCGACTTTACAGTTGCAGCCCTGTTAGCAGCCGACTTTCACCGAAGCTGCTTGTGGGATTTCCTTCATCAGTCCGTACACTCCAGCCCCGCTATTCATAAAACCTTTTGCTGCTGTTCTAGCATCACCCAATCTACCCTGTTTCCCAAATGTGTGGCATTTGCCTCCCTTGTGATACGCTCCACACCGTCAGAGTGTGAGATTCCAGCGCAGAGTCACCAACCCTCCTGTTTCGGCTCATTCTTCAGGACGTAAAGGGTACCAATAGATCGATTCATTCGCCTGCGTAGTGGAGTTATCGCAGACCGGCGCATGATAACTTGGACTCATTCAATATGTACCGCTTTTTGCCATACTACAATTGCGGCAGCGTCTGTGTGTTCCGTGTGGCCGTGCGCCATTTGCCGTACACACTCGTTCTCGTCGATGAACCCGAGTTTACGTAGCTAATAAAAGTACTAGTTGGCTCATCTGAGCGCGATGAATTCCGAACAAGCAGGGCTCGCCAGATATTATCTAATCTTTGCATGATGACGGCTCTTTCAGTTTGCTGTAGTACCAGTATCTACCATTTGTTGTCTCGTTTGCGTCCTTCAAACTTGACCCTTCTGCTTTTATCTGCGATAATAATAACAACGCCATATGGTGACACCTCGACTCTCCTACTGTCAGGAGTGTCTGTCAAACCCCGGGGCCATTTACCTTTGTTCGTCGATTGTCTCGTTGTTACACCGAGTAGGTCAGCAGACACTTAAAGTTTTCGGCCGCTTCAATGGACTTCTTGGTATAAATGCTCAGCGTATCGCTTGTTGTTGGCCTCGGAATTTTGCTGTTCTTTGAAGGCAATGATGAGGTGCTTATCGCCGTGAAGTACAAAGCTCAGGAAAGGGTTGTACCATGTAACACCGTTCCGCAAGCTTCTGCTCTACACACAGTTCTGCTCGTACCTCGCTCCTTCATGCGTACTTGATCATCACATGTATCTCACTTGGTGTACTTGTCATGCTTCATAGGTCCTATCATGCATGTACGGACGAACTGTGGTCCGCCTCCGAACCAATCACGCCCCTTCCTTGTTCCATGTTCACGTGCATCAGTCCGTCGAGTATCCATTGGATGTCGAGTGAATAGGTGGTATAACGTGAACTAGCACGCAATGCGTCTCACAGCCATCCACCGCTGCAGTCCCAGTTGACCATGACCACCAAGGAGGCGCACGCACAGGTTATGCTTTCCCCCCGCGCTGCTGTATTGACTGGGATTGCAATGGGCGGTGCTCATTTTCTTTCATATTCTCATCCCATTCCTAACGGATTCACTGCCAACTCCGTTTATGCTGTATAACGTGCAATTTTTCTTTTTGTTGTTTCCAGCTGACTGAAAATCGTTCCCGTTCTTTACTACACAAAATGGAGGCCCTAAAACCCGCAGGCGGTTTTCCCGAGGTGAGCAGTGTGTACGCTTCGTTGTAATTATATGCCACAATCCATTAGCATTTAGGACCGAAGCCTATTTATATTTTTGTCCTTTCGAAAATCTTCCCTGAGCGCCGCGCACAATTTGCTGAGTCCGCTGCCCCTGGCTGGCTGTTTTCGCGGCCCCTCGCATCTGTGGCAGATCAGAATGACATTGCGGCGCCCTTGTGTGTGTGCACTTAAATGATCATACTCTTGCCTGACTGCATGTTGACGCCAATTTTTAATAATTTTGGGATATTTTTGAACCATCCCGGAATATTTATCAGGTGAGTTTTCGGGTGAGAAAATGGATAATAGCAGTTCTAGATCCAAGAATTCGTCAAGTTTGATGTGGTATGACTTAGGGTTTCAAATATCTTGGCTGTGGTTGGTAGTCTGTTCTACTACGGCGTATCTGGTGAGGAAAAAGTTGGACCGTATGGTTGTTCTTGCCCGTGGTATCAGTAGCGTCACTTTTTGTTGCGGAGTCTGTGGCGGTTATTGTGTTTTATCTCTGGCTCAGAAAAGTAAGAATATGTCTTCTGGTGCAACACATTCTGAAGGATCAATTTTCTTTAGACATCACACCTAGAGGGACTCGATGTGAAGCTGATTGCAACGTTCGCGAGAGTTTAGGATGGATGTGCTACTGAACAAGCATTTGCTGAATGTCGCCTGTAACATTTGCATGGCTTCCCTGTTTAACCTCTGCTTGCTGCCATCCATGAAGTTGCAGCATTCGGGAATAGGACCAGTGAGGATTTTAACTAATCCCAATTTGGCCTTCGTTTACCCACAACCTCAGTAGATATAAAGTTTAATCAATCACAACCAAATTGTATATAGCCACATTTATCGAGCTATCGTTGGTTTGCATCAATGAGCGCACTGTTTACTGCGTGTTGCCACGATGCACAGTTATGTGGACTGTAGCCGGCGTTGTTTTACGAGTTAATGACTCAGTGCCTGTGTTGAAGACACGAAAATGCTGCTAGGCGCCTGCGAATAGTTGCCAATATCTGATGTGACCACTGAGTAGGCACTTTTGAGTTGCGCCACTCGACAACAGATCCCCTTCTTAGTTACACTACGCTCCCCGCATCCCCACCGACTCCTTCCACGTAAACTTCCGTACCGTGAGGAATGTCTCGCACGCTGAATCAATTCGGTGAATACCTGGATATCGGGTTCGGGATTGGCAAGTGAAAACGCACCACACCTACCACACCCACCACACCACATTTGATAAGGCAGTGGATCTACTTCGCCGGGCTCCAGCTTCCCAATACTACTTCTTCATTCGACTCTGCCGCCTTTTTATTGGTTGAATTGTCTGATTTCTTCTTTTATTACCCTTGTTCTTTTCTATTAATCCCGGACGCGTTTTGTGGCGAGTGGATTCACACATTTGTACTATTATCCAGGGATCTCAAAGAACCAAGCGCCAACCTCCAATTAACTGTATTCAAATTTTCACCGTTGTTCCCGGTGGTGCAAGAGTAAGTGATACAAGCCCTCTGATTAATCACTTCATCTTCTGGTAGTGTCGTATACACGACGCTGCTGCTGTCCGCAGTGGCTGGAAAGTAACTTATGCATCAAAGTGGTCCACAACAAGAGCCCTTCCATCTCAAGGGAACACTCGCCTCTTCCCCACGTTATTTAGAATGGGTTCTATCCGAGTAGCTCATCTATCACCACACCCGCCTTCGAGCAAATCCCTCCGCAGTGATTGCATCGTCAGATATCTGTCCGGTTTTTAGTCATCCTATGCATCTTTCTATCGATTACTCGCATGTGCAATATGGGTCCTTGTGAGATTGCGAGGAATTTGAAACAATAAGTTTCTTTTACAGTTCTAAATAGGAGAAGCTGGAGACTGTTTGGAGCTAGATTTGGCAACCAGCTAGCTCAGCACCGATGGGCCACTCAGGTTTCAGTTCGCAGAATGGGTCTCCTTCAGGAGTGCTCTGTGGTCTATTTCCACAGCATACATTCTATGAACATGTTCCATGTCTCAGTACCCGATCTGAATGACTATTCGATCAATCAATTCTTCTCTATCGGACTTTACTTCTGTCGTTTCATGTATTCATCCAGTTTCCGCATTTCCCAGGACTAGTAAAACCTTCACTTCTGGCCCTTCCTCCACACTGAGCTCAAGTGATTGACATCAAAACACAGAACTGACCATTTTAAAATCCACTAAAGATATTCATCGCAATTTGAGACATCCGAAAAATCACTGAACGTCCGATTTGTCCTTTCGGTGGTAGTGCGCATTTCCCTCGAATTTCACTAAATTCTTAGTTTCGTTCTGAGTCAACTATCCATGTGTCACCTCCGCACGCTGCCATGACCATGTCGTTGACTGCAACATAATGCTGTTCATTCCTCACTACTGTCGACCGCATTAACATGTCGGGGACAGAGTTTGTCCCATGGCTACGGCTTTCGTTGCTACACAGTTCTCCAGTGGTCCAGATCTAGATTACGCGTCGTAATCCATTCCCACAACGCGTGCTTCGAGATGACCCCTGCAGTCAGTCATTAACCGTTGTGAGTAATGTTATCCGCTGCAACTCGGTGGCTTAGGAGTAGACGTTTCGACTGATGCCCCAAAATTTCTGCAGTTCTGTTGCCTAATGATTGCAACTGAGCACGAGACCACTCATGGAGTGTGCAGTGTGGCAATCGGGCGAACAACACCCAATATCCATCTGTTTCAAATGCTTTGCAATGTCAGCCAAAACCTCTGCCTTTTTAGCCACCTAGTCACGATAGACAACATCATCATCATCATACACGTTAGCTAGAGGTGGGGAACACCTCAGCTACTATGCCGCAACGATAGACAACACCTGTCGCTAAGATTAATGACGCAGTGGAGAGGACATTAACCTTTGTGACAAGCGTGCTCCATCACCATCACCACTAGGTGGCTTAGTAGTTGAGGATTGGGCTGACACCCCAAAGCTCCCGAGGGTTCGAGTCGCAGTCTTGCCATCTCTGCTGCCTGATGAGTGTAAAGGAGTACGAAACCGGTCGTCGGGTACAGTATTTTCAGACGGATAACACTTGACAGTGGTCTGCTTCCGATGCCGAATCGATCGAGGTTCACTCCAAAGTGATTCGTGATCCGCAGTAGGATTGCGATACGCAATCCACTCACGCAACTCGTGCTGCACAGTCACCGTTCCAATTAGTCTTCCGTCTTGTTGTTATCATACGCCAGACCGAGTGTTTACCACTTGTTCGAAAGTCAAATCCGCATCCTTTCCACATCAAGTCGAAATGGTCTCACGCATCAAGACCCAAATCACGGTTCACCAAGGTACCTTTCTTCCGCACACTAAGTACTCGCTTCTTAACGTCGCGAAACTGTCTAGTGATTTTCAGGTTTTAGAGCACCTGCCGTGTGGTTTGGATTGCGACGCGCAATCTCCATCGTGACTTCAGTTGACTTTTAAGTCAGCCTCTACCAACACGCTCACTGGGACCGTCGCCAAACTGGAGAGTTTCAGTGTGGCTCTCGCCCGTCCCTGCACTCCACGACCGACGGTTTCGTTTTGTTTAGACTTAACAAATAGAGTTAGCCAAGCTGGGAGTGGAACTCGGCACATAGTGCTTGGCGGCTATCGCCATGATCGCTAGGCCATTGAACTCCTCGAGCAGTGCTTGACACAGTGGTTAGAAGTAGGTATTCGGGTTTTGGAGCACCCGCCGTTTGACTTGCATTGCGACACGCAATCTCAATTGTGGCCTCGGTTGACTTTGACTGGTTAGCATTACGCATGCAATGACGCGGCGGCACACCTCTCACCGTATTCTGCCTGATCCATGCTCCACGGGGATTGTGGTCCAAGCATCCGAGCCAGTAGTTTTCAGCTGGGCCGATGCTATTGCAGACCCACTGCCGAAGTACCCGTCGTAATTTGTACATGTGAGCATTTACTGTTATCTCACACTTAGTGGCTGTGTGTTATGTGCGCGCTCAAACTAGCGAATTAAACTGATCTCTTAGTCTTCAAAACTGGTTCTGCACATATTGTGTTTTTTACATTCGTTTCGCTCTGTTGAGACAGAACGAGCTCACCGAATACACTCTAGTCTCATGAGTTCATGCTCCGCATCACTCGTGTTACCTCGGCTGTGAGAGTTACCCCGTAATTTGGACCAATGTGCGCGTACCAAATACCCCTGTCGTGCTCGCCATAACACAACCTGGCCAACTATGTGAACCACCCGCGTAATCGCCAACCAGCCAACGATTCCTGGAACGAGGAAGAAGCGATGTGCCTTTCATTGACATCCGGTCCACACGGCAGCTTGTGGCTGTAGTTATCCGTTACCGTGCTCTTTCCTTTGTCTTGGGGCGTTGGCTACTATACAGGTAGGATGATCAGTCTGTAAGGTTTTGTTTTAAACCTGACGAATAGGAATTCGGAAGAAATGGGCAAGATTTCACTAGTTTTTGATGGTTATTCTGTAACTTTGGCCCAAGTTAGCTTAACATGTTTTGAACGAGTGATTCGGGCGCGCATGCAAGGATTCCGCTTCCAGTAAGTGCCATAAGTTAGCGTCTACCTTCTCTATATCAATGTGGATCCACTAATCACCACGAATTGCGTGGTTTCGTGTGGGAGGAATCTCTGCCATTTTGATATGCCACAGTTGCTGGGCTACCGCTCGCAGCAGCAGTACGGGTGGGTCACCCTTTCACATCGTCTTAGGATGCACACAGAATGTGCGCAAATTGTAGATTTGTTTTGCGCTTTCCTCGTTGCCGAAATCTTATTTTTCTAGTCTGGATGTGTGATAAATTCAGAAACACGTTTTTCATAACAATCGCCAAATGACATAACTACTGCTTTCGATAAGTGCTTGAAACGTGTTCACGTAGAGAAAGCACTCCTGACATGCCTCTGATCTGCTATTCACCACAAAATGTTCCAACAGCTCCTCCAAACTCTTACTGATACTGCTGTCGTTTTTTTTACTGATCAGGTTTCTTACAGATGGAGCAAGACGGAGCTTGCTCTGGTGCTTACGGCTATGTCCAAATATGGCCGCGATTTCGGACGAATCGCGCGGACCATCGGTTCAAAGACAGAGGGTTTCGTACGCGACTTCTACAATCAGTTGCGTCATCGATTCCCATTGGATGACATCATTCGGTAAATTTTTACTCAACCGTTACGGTAGAGCTGTTTTCCAGTTATCAGCACTAGTTCCCTGTCTTAGGCCTTATAAATCCAGTTTCACAGGTCTTATCCCATTACACAACACCCGATGACCGATCACAGTAGGTTACCGTTCAGGATTATTTTTAGTACGCCTACCCGATGAACCTGAACGGTAAACGCTGTCGGATCATCGTTTTGGTTTAGAGTGCACACTGCGTGTTTAGACCTTGACACATCACAAACTCATTCGGAACACAGTTTTAATTGCTGCCGTATTTCCGAGTAAATCAGTCCAAATTTACTACGCTTCCACTCTCAACACACAAGTAGTGCTCAACGCCCCAATAATGAGTTTCCAATTAAGGTAACAAGTGTTGCTCGCCGAACCCGTACAAGTCATATAACGGTAGTCTCTACTCTCTGATTGGTGTCCCAACTCTCCTCTCCTTACTTCAGAGTCCAAGTCATTCATGAAGTGTTTTGCTCTGGGTCATTAACACCAGCATCCAAACTAATCTGATCCTATGTATCCCCGATAGAGTAGTAACAATCCCGTCTCACTGCTATAGACTCTAACCACGATGGCACCTGCGACTCAAAGCATCATCAAATTGAGAAACATAATACTGGCCGTCGTAGACTTGAATCCAATTAATGACAATCACTGGACATACTACTTAATCCTGGATAGAATTTCACGAGCATTATTAAATTTTTGCTGGCTGCTTGCCAGAAGTGGAGCTACCAAGTTCGACTCTGAGGTAGGTGACTTAGCTGTGAATACACAGCTACCTTCTCACAGCTCCGCCATCAGTACTTGGAATGAGCGACAGCTCCGCCGAGTTCTATGTTACCGAACCCATTATACTTTCCTCCTCTCATTGGCTGTTCACAACACTAGCAATACTGTTGCTTACCTGTGGATTCTTTTTGTTTAACCTACATGGTATTCCATGCATCGCAATCATTCAACCCACTGTGTCAACCGCCGAGTTATCGAGCACATAAAGGATAGCACCTTCGCCACTAACCGGAGTCACTCTGATAACCTGATTTCTATCTCACAGGTATACCGGTATGTGAGCGGGCCTCACGTAATGTGGGGTAGCCCCTTACTTTCCTCTTGCCATTGGTTTGCCTTCTTTCCTCCAAGTATGAACTTGCTAGATAATTTGCGAAGTCAATGTTTAACCTGTTGGTGCAGAGTTCAAATTAACTTGCTTAAACCTTCCAAATGTTATATGGAAACACTAATGAAACCCGTTTTCTAGACTGAATGCCATTCAACTTATCTATCCAAGTTTTTGTTCTATGTCTCGTACCCGAAATTCAACGGCACGTAACCATCTGAACTTCGTATTGTTCCCCGGTCTAATAAAACTGTCTGCTAAATCGTACTGATTACCGAAATTTTTCGCCATATCCTCGTGATACTGTATTTACCAATGTGATTCCTAAAACTAAGTTAATACGTTGCGAACCTAGCAATAGCTGCTACCACTTTTCTTAGCCTTTCAGAAACTAACGAAAATAGGACGCAGGAGATAGAGGTGCGCATATGGAAAGACGAAGATTCGCCCTGCAAAACTGATTCTCATCCACCCTGCACCGGTGTCACAACGGTCCAGAGCGGTGAACAAACTTGCATTAACTCAGAATCTGAAATTGCACCAAGCGCAGTTTCTTCATCCATCGCTGACCAAAATGCTGGCTTGGACTCCTCTGGAGACCGTCCGTCTCAGGATACCACTAACCCCCAAACTGAGTGCAAGGAACAATGTCCCGTGAGTGAACCCCCTCGTAGGAAACGAGGTAGGCCGCCTAGAAACTCAAGCACTTCGGTGCAGCGTGTGTCTGAATCGGCATCCATCTCCAGCCAGGTTCGTCGTGGGCGAGGTCGCCCACGTAGAACCTAATGTATCCCGATTTATCTGCATAGAGTGCCTCCTACCCCTGGTACTTTCTCGGTGTATAGCCCCCATTTTCTGAACGGATTATCCCCTTCACAATTTTGTACACCTTCTCTTGTGTGATTTCATTGTTCCTCACTCTTGCCACTTCCTCCCATCGATTAAAACTTATCAGAAATAACTTGCACTGTTTGCCTCCGATACCTCGCTTCCCATCTCTCACTTCTTTCCGACCAAACTTGTCGAGTTTGCGTTTTCATCACCTTACCGCTGTACACACTGTTTGCAATGCATATGGTAAATTTTCATTGCGAATATCGAGCAGGGACAATTCAGTTCAAACCAATTGTCAGTAGATTTGGTATAGCTGTACTTTCATACATTTTATGGGAACGTGTCGCATCTGGGACCAACCAGCCGCCATACGTCAAAAGGAGCGCTGGACAAGCGCGCTGTCCCATTGCAAGTTACCAGCAGTGTTCATCTCCATCGATTCCTAAGGCTACTCTTTTATACGGCAGTGACTCAAGCCGCTGTGCCGTGGGTGACGGCGGTGTACTCGTGTTATAGGTGCGATAAAGCGTCATAACCCAGAGCCAACCTGTTTCCCTAGCTACCGTAGCGTGCATGACGAGGGAGGAGGAGCCGTATAGGATCAAACCGAGATGTTCACTACTTGTGAAGCGCAGCATCGCGGATGCGTGGTTCGTATCTGACTGATTCTAGTCGAGAAGAATCTTAGAACCTTAAAGTCTTTCGGAGCCCGCCCGCAGCCTAAAGGCAACGTGTTTGTCTCGTAATCTGACGCCGCGGGTTCGATCCTGCGTAGGGGCAGGACGACCCTCGCAGTATCCTTAGCCCACCTGCAACCGGTGGTGGTCGCGCGGCAGCAAAGTGTCGGTACTACGTAGCGGCGTACTGTTGACGCCATTTTGCCTTTCTTCTAAAATCGTTCGGAACACTGGTGGCTCGGATTGACGACGCCACCTCACATGGTGACGAAACGTGTGCAACCAAATTGCCTATCTGGGAGAATTGCTGTATCACAAAACCACTCTACCACTTACTAGCAACTCGTACGCTTCAGATGCATCCTTTTGGTTGGTTTTGCACTTGCTGACTGTGATAACCTCCAAGAGACATTTTCCTATATGGGTTCACTCGTCATTGCGATATTTCTTCGCGTTAGACGATGGTTTATGTGGTCTATGATTTTGCGCTCTCTCGAAAGAAGTTTAGCTAGTGTAAATAGACCTCGTTTATGATGGGCTATTGGCGATTCTCTAGTTTTCGAAGGTTGTGATGCTGGTTCTCTGTGCTCTCCAGTTCAACCGGATTTCCCAAAAGTCAAGAACTGGCTGACAAGGGCTTATGTTCGATTAAATGTAGTCACACTTACACTACTCACAAACATCCACCATTAATCTACCATCGCCCATTGGACGTCTGAAGGACAGGAACTTCGGTCTATTGGGAAGTGACGGGTGAGTGAGCCAATCTGCAACATCAGGACAGGTACTGTGAGCTTATTGGCAACACGTCGCGCGCCAAGCAGAAGACATGTGTTAAAATTTGCGCACCTAATCGTGAGCCCTCGGTAGCTCAGGTGGTAGAGCAACGGACCGGAAATTCGTGGACCGGGCTTCGACTCCCCGTCGAGGCATATTATTGTGCGTGAATTTTAATCGTGGCTTCTACTTTCTTCGAGCTTTACACTACTCACAAACATCCACCATTAACTTACAAATTAGTCACAGTTCTGGATGTAGAAGTCCTCTTTGATTGTCTTTCCCTTGGCATTGATGTCGGATCATGTCTTACCTGCTGATTGGCCATCACGGTGCACCGTGTTCGGTGTTCTGCTCCGCTGACCAATCACGACATGCTCACTGTGTCCATGCAGTAGTGTGCTGTGAGCGTGCGTATGCACTCACTCGTTGAAACTGGCGAACAACAAACACACACACTTTGTGTTTGTTGCCCAGACCCAGCAGCTCACAGATCGTAACCCGAGTTCCGTACACATCATATCGCGTATCAGTAGGGTGAAAGATAGAACGGCCTTCATGAATCTCTAACGTCTGGCACTGTTTTAAAGATCATGTTTACAGGATAACTGCCGGGGTGTTCTAATATTTTACCGCAGTGACCACTCCCATCAAAAAACCAAGTACTTTCCGTTCATTATTGTCTTCAGATTATTGCTATTGTCGAGTGGCCCCAGTATATCCGCAACGAGAAAGTGCGCAAGAGAGAACTAGGTAGTGCTTGCTAGATCCGTTTAGTAGGACAACAATGTGTGGCGGAATAAACAACCTTAGTGCAGGCGCTTGGTATACACGCCTGTCTAACGAAGAGTGCCCCGTCTGGTCTACCTAATTTAACATGGCGTCAGGTTCGATGGAGATAATAATTTAGCAGGCACGCTGGAGGCAACACTAACACTATTGAAACGGAAAGAACTAGAACACATGTACACAGTGGCGTATCAAGTACTTTTGCTCAGAGTAAAGTGCACAGTAGTTTTCGATGAAATGGATAATTGTTTGGGTTACTGAGGTAAATGTGTGAAAGTGACCACAGTGGAAAAAGGAAGGGAAGAACGTTGGCAGAAATATGACACATGGGTCAATTGTGTTGTTAGTCATATCAAGTAACGTTAAAATTATCAACTCTCAGCTTATCCGGATATTTTGCCCTCTATGTTTGACATCGGAAAATCGACGGTACTAAAAATGCCGCCCCCCCCCCTAAGCTACGCCACTGCATGTATGCGAATATTTTTACCTGAGCATGTACACGAGGATATGGTAGTAGCTTATTGCTTAAAATCCGCAAATGTAAATCCTCTGAAGTCTTCCGTAGAGAACTCCGGCGATACCTAACTGTTGCAAGTGTTATGCAGATGATGAGACCAAATATTGCGGAAGAAACTTACGAGCAACGTGTAGCGGACCTTTGAGAAAACATTCCATAGGATTCGTCCATTTCACATCACAGCCTAACCACAGGCGTGATGCTAAGTTGTTAGCCAGGCCTTATCCAACCCTTTTACTCTTGACCATCATTACCATTGTTTTGTTTTATGGGATTTGAATGCTCATCGATTGTTGGTGAAAGCACTAGCAGATTGGCAGATAAAACAGCGGAATCCTACTCGGCATCTCTTCTTGTCACCTTAACCTTCTCACTTTTGTAGTCAACTAAACTTGTTCTATAGCTCGCAGTGTGTCAGTACAGCCCCTGTCATCCCCGTTAGTTGCGCGTACAGAAGTCTTTGACCACTTCACCTCAGCTTGGCGCACAGTGCACATTCCACAGTTACTCCAACATCCACAATGTATTTGTGGGATCTGGAGTGCAATGATGAGTTGAACAACCAGTTATTTTTCACAACTTTCATTATTCTATGCCCTAAATATTAGATGTTATTCACTCACCCCCATCAAGGAGTAAAACTACTGATTCGTTTACAGCTTAACTATCTAATCCATTCCTAATTGTCATCTACGTCAACGTAGTCCCATCACCTATCTTCATAGTACACCTTCCGAGACCGCACAAAAATTGCTCATCCACTGAAGGAGCATGTGTGCGAATACCCAGACACTCTAGCTCATCTCTGAGCAACCGTGAAACAAAGTGCTGACATTGAGTTTAGAGAAGAGTTAAGTGTTTCATACCGCTCTAATATTTTCTCATGTGTGCACACTTCCCCATCCTAATGGACTACTGCAGACGAAACCTTGGAAACTCATAAGGCGCCGTATGGATGCTTTAATCCAAGTTTTCTCCGGTTTGGTCTCGTCCTAGTCCAATTACTCTAATCGTGCGTCTTTTTACTCATTGGCAGCTTGCCTTGTACATTTCGTTTACTTTTTTTCACTACTAACTTCGCACGTGGTTACGTTTTTCAGCTACATCTAAAATCGCTTCTTTCTCATGAGCCCACTGTCATCATGACCGTCAACACGCGATGTACTGACAGCTAAGAATCGCTAAGAAATAACACAGAAATCTCAGGGGGTAGAAATTTTCATGAAACGCTGTTATTGCATCCCTGTACAAACCCCAACCATTGATAGTTTTACACATGTGACCATGTGTAAGTAGATATGACTCGTCCCTTTGTGGGTACGATTTCTCGGTACTACGAGAAATATACAATTTCAATTGGGCTAAGTACTATTCGCTGATCTCACCTTCCATATAGTTCTCAGCAGGCACAAGAAGTGCGTTTGCCGTCGTGTGTCGCGTGCCTGGAATGCCCTTCCGACTCACGTGTTATCCTTGCTCCTACAATAACGCTTTTCAAAAAAGCGCCTTGATGAAACGCTTTCAAACTTACATTACTTGATATAGTCCTTTCCACTTGGAGGACGAGACAACGCAAACCTAACCATGTGCTTAATGGCCCTCTCTGCAATGTGGCGGTGAGGATACATGCAGTAGTATCCATGTGATTAGCCTAAATGTAACTAAACTAAATTAACCTACCACATGTCAAATGAAAAAACAAAGGAGCGAGCGTTGCCGTTTCCTTTTTTATTTCTCACGGACTTACTGAATTATAACAGCTCTCTATATTATTTTGCGTGTGCACATCCCATCCCCACTAAAAACTATCGTTATGCACTGGCGCATTTAACTCGGTGGACGTCTGAAATAACGATTTACTTATTTGATGATCCTACAAATTTTAATTTCTACAACCATTCTACGGGACTTGTCAAGCACATGCTTTTTTACCCCTGATAGATCATTGTCCACTGTCCATTGAATTGCGTGATTGAAGTTCGTATGCTGTTAGTTCATTTGTGCAATGTGGAGGAGGAAGACCACACATACGTTGCCTCGCCGATGCCGTCCCAATTGCAGCTGATCGCGGTGTTTGTGACTGTGCGGTTTTGGCAACGTGTAGACGCTTTGCTCCACACCATTTCTTCTCTCTTCATTACAAAGCTAATGACTGTAGTGAGGGTCAGATCAAGCATACGCTTTTATGCACTCAGCAAGAGTGAATCTTCAGCAGTAGAACACATGCTATCGAATAAATAAGAATTAGTGCACGTCATAGCGATAAAACAGTGACAAAAGCAAGCTTCAATGTGCAGCAAAATCAAACGTTTATTAGTGAATTCTTGGATCATAGCGTTCGGACTTGACAGAAATCTAGCCAGAAATGGAATGACTGACCAGCCGCAGGTCCAAGTACGGGTATATGTTCCCGTGTACTTTTGTCCCGTCCGGAGCGTCGGTACACCACAAACAAGGTGCCATTTAGAGGGTGAGTATTTTCAGATCAACTTTAATGCAAAAATTAACATGAGTATGTACGCCATTTTGTTAAATTTTA